AAATTTATGTATTTGAAATATAGGTATATATGAATTCTTTGTATTTATAAATTCCCTAAAATTAATTATTATTATTATTACTTTATATTCATCATAATATAGTCATTTGGATTATAATCCCTATTATATTTTCATTTTGGCAAATATTTTTGGATTAAAATATTCTTAAATGTATATTAAGTATTTATACCTCTCAAACTATATCTCACTTGAAATACTAAACTTATATTATTTCTAACTCCTCCATACACTTTCTTCAATTTAATCCTCTACCTATTAATTGTGTTCATCTTTTGGATGTGATGTCTTCTTACAAAAGAGTGAGGCAATCAAAATAGTGGTTAGAAAATTTTGGTTCAAGAATTTGAATGGGACTTCAACACCTTATGTCTAAGTATTCTTAATATATAAATGTTATGTTGTTTAAAATAAAGCTTAATAATTTTTATTGGCTATCATGACGAAAATTTTTCTAAAAAAGTTATTCATATCATTTGATAGAAATAAGATAGTAGAATCCAACAAAAGGTCAAATAAGGTTCAAATTAGCTTTGAGAAAAGTAGACCTCATTCAAACAAGTCAATATGTAAACTTGGTTGAACATGGTTTGGTCTAAATCTAATTTAAACCCTGTTCAAACAAGTTTAAATCTCCTAGATATGCCCCATCCTCCAATTTGGTGAAGCAGGGCAAAGTCGAAGGGGGTCCAACAAGTTATCTTTGGACAAGATCAGTAGTGCCAAGCAAGCGAGTAGGCTTGGGTGAGTGCCAAGACAAGGGTACCTATGACCAACAAGCTTGCTGATGTTAATGAAAACTTGTGTAAGAGATCTCAAATTGCCTGAGAAGAGAGAGGCAAGTTAAATGTTGTCGGGAGAAGGTAGAGGCCTCAAGTTGGATTGTAGCAGTAAGATGAGTTGAGGGCCTATGAGTAGGCTCTTTCTTGTAGCTGAGCTTATTGAATTTGCATGAGGATGATCACTTTTAAGAGAACAAGAAATAGAGATGGTAGTCCAAGTACATGGCAAGTGCCGAGTTGCTAGCTTGATTAGGAATCCTTGATTTACCCTATAAAAGAGCAATCTCCACGATATGATCAAGTGAGTAGCGCCTATTGATTTTTTTGGGGCGAGTTTTCTTGTGGGTTTCATACGCGTAGCACTCTTAAATCATTAAGCAAATTTCTATTGTGGGTCCCCCTTTTAGGATTAGTTCCTCTATTATAACTCGCTGACTACTTGCTAAAAACTTATCAAGGCAAGTGGGAGTATATATTTTTTTCAACAAAATCTTTTATTCAAATAAAGGGAAGAAAGAGTACAACAGTGACAGGTATAGGCCAACCGCCTAAATACAAGAAGTCAAAGCCACAAAAACACAGGGTACAAAATAAACAATAAAAACAAAAGACCAAATAGACAAAGCCAAAAGACAGGACTCAGGGTGGAGGCCCCCAGAACCGACCACGAGGCTAGCACGGATCATCCATAGGTAAGAAAGCCACCAAGAAACAAATGGGGCACCTAGGTTGCCAATCAGCCAAGCCAAAGAGGGGAAGCACGGGCCTCCTCATTATAGTCCAATCAACACCAAACCCACGGAAGCATTTGAGCAAAAAACAACCCAATTACTTCCTACCTCTGCGTTTAAATTTACCCCGACCATGACCTGGAAAATGGCCTTTCCCAAATTCAAGATAGTCCCCTTCTTCTCCGTTAGAAGGAGACGAAAGATCATCCTCTAAATAAAGCCAGTCATTTTGAAACAAAATCAAGTTTTTAATGGACTAAGCCACATGGTTTTTGCATTTCAGTAGTAGACAAAACAAATATAGGTATATTAACAACATTACCATTACCCTCAAATTAATTGTTAGAAGCTAAAACCACTTGCACCAAAATAACCACCTGATTTACATACATACCACTGCCAGATGCAACCATAATAAAAGAACCAGAGGGAAAAGGGAAGCATTCTTTAGACAGCACAACAGGAGAAATCGAGGAACCAGAATTCTCAACAACCACGCTAGGTGCAACAGCAGCCAAAACATACGGGACAGACATAGCACACACACGAGACAAAGTAACTATAGAATTAAAACTACCACCAACATCACTAGCACAAAAACAGGATGCTAGGAGAACAGGTTTGAGCCCGACAACAGTAGGATCCGCCTGAGGAGACAAATAAATCTCCCACAGACTCAACCACCTCCTCAGGAGGAAATAAAATAGGTTCAGTTTGGACCCCGACAATAGCAGGATCCACCTAAGGAGACATAAACGCAGGTAAATCTCCCATAGATGCAACCACCTCCTCAGGAGGAATCAAAACAAGTTCATAACCTAACAAAGCCAAAGTATTCCCTATATTCATACATGGCACAGTAGTGGGAGAAATAATCACATCTAGATTCGTAGACGGCAAAGCCACAGGAGACAGGGCAGCTATAGAAGGACTCGAATTAATAATAGTATCATTCCCTAACTCTGGCACAATAACAGAAGGAATGTCCCTATTTAAATGGGATTGAGATAAATT